TATATATATATATATATATATATTGGCCCGGTAATGTATCCACAGTTCAATAGCGGCGTTCACTTTAAGTGAATATACGGAACGGCTGTAAGTATTCGCTTTTTTGGTACCACTTGATGATTGATTTCAGGGTTTATGAACGCAAAACTATATGCAACGTTTGTGTTGCACTTGAGACTTTTACTCACAGGAGTATCACATGTTACACGGAAACACTGAAGCTGTGTACGGGATTTGTCAAATTGTTTGTCGACACGGGCATATCGGCTAAACCTTTTTCAATCAACGTTTGGTGCAGCATGTGACAGCCACGCATTATTACTAAACCAAGCTGTACAACATGAACATTTGTATTAAAATTGAATGTTTCAACATTTGTGGACCTCAACATTTTTGGTCGGACTCGTTTACAGTGTTATGACTCCCGTTTGTGCGATTGCGGATCGTGACCAAAGCATTGCAAGTTTTGATCAAAGAAGCCTGGGTTTTGGCTAAAGGATTACAGATCGAGGCTACAGGACTGCGGGTTTTGAGTAAAGCCTAATAGGAAAAGGTATAGTTTTCATGCGATCTTGTTTCGATGAGCGTTGCTGCTCAGTGATGCTTGGTTCCGAACCTCAGTCGTCGTACGTTTCACGATATGGTGAATTTAAAGCTATTCAACAGTTTGCAATGTCGCTTTTTCAAAATTTCTCTCAGCCAGACCCAGTCGGTTAGCGAGTCTTTAATCTCCTCTCCAAAAGCTATGCCTACGGGATGGGTCTCTCTTAATACATTCACTGTGGATATGTCACCGACTACCTTCTCATGGCGAATGTTATCCATTGAGTTTTAGGGGGTTGGGGATGGAAAACCAACGTTCAGGTTAACGATTCACAGGCAACTTGCTCATCAAAGTGAACAATATTTTGTAAATCTCAGAAGTAGAGAAAGAGAGAGACTGTGCGTACGAACTGTTCTCTGGGGCTTGCCGGCTCCGATGATCACTGACTTGATTGGTTGGTTGGGTGGGTGGGTGGTAAGTGTAATCCGGCAGATTGGATATCCAGCTCCGACACTGCCGGTTTTCACACACCCTGCCCGGTTTGGACTAGATGATGACTACGTTTGCTTGTCCTCTGTCAATCTGACTGCATTGTACCCACAAGCAAATCAATAAATACTTAATTTTTTATGACACCCTTCTGTTCCCTGATTTATTTAACAGTCTGAATGTAGATTAGTGTCAAAAAATTTGACTTTCTCCTGCCTCTGCTCGTATTCAATCGGAACGATCTGTGTATACCTTTCTCGCCCTTTCACAGCCTATCACAGTACCCGAGAGTGTCGCGCGTCTGTTCGCTCCACGCAAAGGCAGTGCACATTGCTACGTGTGTGACAAACGCTTGTATTTGATCGAACGGCTGATGGCATTCGGTTTGTTTTTTCATCGTCACTGTTTTCGATGTTCCGAATGTGGATCTCAGCTACAAACCGACAAGGCCACGTGTGTGCGCGCCACGTCACGTGACGAACGCGGTGAGTCATTGTGGCAGGTGGGATCACCGATGGTTTTCTTTCTACTGCAGTGTTTG